TCATTTTAAAGGAAGTAGAGTCACTCACTGGAGACCTGGATGGTTGTCACTGAGAAAGTAGGATTTTTACATCAAACTAGAAGATTTTGAAAGTCCCAAGAAGAGACAGACCATGAGTGGGGGCTGCCGAGAGCTCAGATAAAAGCAGGTGGAGGACAGGGCATGTGTTAAAAGAGAAGCAAAACAACAAAAGAAGAAGAGGCCCAGCAGCACCAGGTCACAAATGCCAGCAAAAGAATGGGGACTTTCACTGATACTAGAGGATCCAGGCCAAAATGTTAAGAAATAAAAAACCAAATGTTTGGGGAAGACTAATTTAGTAAAAATTGCAGGGAGACTAATTAGGAGGATAATGAATATCCAATGAAGAGGTAATAAATTTAGGAAGACACAAAAAAAGAAGCATTATGAGATGTAAAATAGCCAATTTGCTTTCTCACTATTAAAGCACCTCTCAGATTTTGTGAGTGGGTGACAGTAAAGTAATAGGGCCTTTTCAGAAATGGAAAAGAACACAGGAGGAGCCACTCTTGAAGGCAGCAGGATAATTTTAGCTTCATTATACATGTTTGCCTTAGGGACAATCAGAATAAAGTGTCCCAGGGAAAATGGAGATGTAAGATTTTAGTCTTTTATTATTGTTGTTATCATGATGACAATAATGATGGGAATTTGTTGGTATAAGCTTTAAATTTGAAATGTCATTAGCTTTGATTTTAGTAATCCAACCCCCTTAGTCTTGGAGTCTTTGCTGTGATTGGAAGGAAATGGAGTTGGGTGGGGGTTGGGAGGGATGTCATCAAACCCTAATAATAGATTTTATAAGGTGAATGACGTTGAGTGAGGGGTTCTGGGAGAAGATCTGGTGGCCACACTTGTGGGGCGCTGGTGCCATTACTTTAGAGAATTCACCCTTTCCCATATCCCACTTTGGTTAGACTAGAGGAAACTAGCACTCAATAAACTAGCAGGAGACTAATTGATAATGAGTAGTGAGGCTTTTCCTCATGCAGTTATCTCCCCAGCTAAACTAGTCATTAGAAAGTTACTTGGGGATCAAAGACTTCCACCAAAGAGAAATTGATAAACAAGAAGGACGCTGCATCTAGTCTACATGAGAGCTCATGTGACATTCCTACTCTACATCCAAATTATTTCTCTTCTTACTAAAATATTCAAGTCCACTACATTTGAGGTCTTTCTTCCCTGGATAGGATGAAAGAAACTTTTCAGGGTTTATGCCTTATTTTTATACTTTCGTTTCTTATATTCTAGTCCAGTAGTCCCCAGATGCTATGACTGCCACAGGAGTACCTGGGGATCTTGTTGAAATTAGAATCAAGGTCCTTACATTTACAAACTCTGATTCAGGGTGTCTATAGTAAGGCCTGGGAATCCAGATTTCTGGCAAGTCCTCAATTGGAGACAGCACTGAGTGACTTTGAACCGATGTGATTTCGCAGGTAGGTTAGACTTGAAACCTCCACACCTACTTTACTGCGAGCAGTTTCCCATGTGCCTATTTTATTTGCTTCTCTTTTGCCAAAGATTTATTTAAACACAGATTCTCATCACGTTAACAAGAATTGGTCAATTGTTTATCCAAGTTTAACTCGACCTTTTGATCAATGTTGATTTTCTTCAACAAGGTCATAAAACAATTTTTTAGAAGACCACTATTAAATTATAAGCACATTTGCTTATTCAATAATTATTTATTGTTCATCTTCTATGTGCCAGGCACTGTGCTTGGTACTATAGACAGCTAGAAAGGTAAGACCTCTCTGCAGTTATATTCTAGTGCAATGGAAGTGGAGTGGGGTGAAAAAAGACAATGGAGAAGTAAATAAATAAAATCATTTCTCACTCTGGTTAGTGCTATGAGAAAAATAAGCAGAGTGCTGGAGGAAATATTTTGGAAGGGAGGAAAATAACTTAGACAGGGTGGATAGGGAAAGCCTCTCTAGAGAGGTGACTTTCCAACTGAGAGCTGGCAAATGAAGAGCCAGTCATGCTGGATGTTAAGACCTGGGTAACAGTGAAAAGTGGTCAAAGAATTGCAAAGCAGGAAACAACCCTGAGCTGGAAAGTTAGACAAGGGTGATCAGAGAGATGGTGGGAATGGTACAGGCTCTGGTGGTGACCAAGGCTGATGTGAAATGGAGAGCTTCTCTGATAAAAAACAAGATGGTCAAGGAACGGAGAGTTGATTGGATATCAAAGTCACTAAATGTAATGAAGGAGCTGAGTTAGAAGCTGGAGTGTGTAAAGAGAACAAATCAGTGGTAAAGGCAGATGACAACAACAGGAGGAGGAAAGGGAGACTTAAGGAGGACACACTGATTTCACAGAAGCTGGAGACTTTGCTGGGTGTTGGTTGTCCTGGAAGCAGCCATGGGCTGCAGGGAAATCACTCCCTGGCTTCTGGCTGGTGAGACAAGTAGTTCAAGGATATGAAGTTTCATCTACTTGAGAAAGTGCAAGAGACACAGAGTGCTGGGAGTCAGCCAGGTTTCATTTAGAGAGTCTTGGGAAACAAACATTCCAGAAATCCCTGGAGATTAAAGGGGAATTTGATGGCCGCAAAGCAGAAGGTCCAGAGGCCACAGGAAAAGGTGGATTTTGTTTTTGTTTCTGATTTGACAATCAGAAGCAGAGAAGAGAACTGGTGAGGGCATATGTAGAGATATGCAAATTACCATCTGAATAATAATGGACACATGGGGAACCTTGGAATTTAACAGGTCCCTGGAATTAAAGTACTATAACTACTACTACTGCTAAAACAACAATAATAATAGTTACTATTTATAGTGGTAATAGCAGAAGAAGTAATGGTAGAACTATTATGGCAGTTTTATATTTGGCCTCTGCTAAGTACTTTCCATGCATGTGTACCCATAACCCTATGATCTTTCAAACCACAGTCAAATTTTATATTTTCAGCAACAACTTTATACAAATCACTGATCAGAGTAAAGAAGGATATAGGGCTTTGAAGTCATCCTGGCAGTCTCTGGAGAAGATAGCAGACAAATGGTTTTAGAGTTAAAACTCCAAATAGATGGATGGTCCAATGGTATGGAAGATTTGGGGTGGCTGTTTCAGGGGTCGCTATGGTTTGGCTGTATTCCAACCCAAATCTCAGTTTGAATTGTAGCTCCCATAATCCCCATGTGTCATGGGAGGGACCAGGTGGGAAGTAACTGAACCATAGTGGTGTGTTTTTCCCATGCTGTTCTCATGATAGTGAATAAGTCTCATGAGATTTGATGGTTTTATAAAGGGCAGTTCCCCTGCACATGCTCCTTCTTGCCTGCCACCATATAAGATATGCCTTTTCTTCTCCTTTACCTTCTGCCATGATTGTGAGGCCTCCTCAGCCATGTGGAACTGTGAGTTCATTAAACCTCTTTTTCTTTATAAATTACCCAGTCTTGGGTATGTCTTTATTAGCAGCATGAGAACAGACTAATACACGGGCCTAGACAAGTTGGCATCTGGTGTTCAGGGGGTTATTCACACAGTCTTCTTGCACTAGATAAAAGCAGCCCCCTTCAAGCTCAGCTGGTAGAATAACCATGTTGTCTGGAGGTGGCTCTATCAACAGTGCTTCATTCCTCTGCTCTATTGCTTAATTTGCTAGAAAATTACTAATTATCCTTGAAGACCTAATTCCATTCATTCATTCACTTGTTCATTCCACAAAAATTTGAGAGCAATTATTATAGGTTATAGACCATTTTGGAGGATATAATGGTTAAAAATTGTGTGTGCATGTACACAGATAGTATATATATGTATATATGCAATCATGTGTATCATATACATATATATTTACAATCATGTTTATATTCCCTCAGATACTTTCCCCAACACTCCCTCCACCTCTAGGCTGATGACACCATGTATTATGCCCACAGCACAGCATTTATTCATTTACTTTTCCAATAACATGCTGACAACCCTATATGTATATCTCCAGTCCAGTCATCTCCACACTATCCTTTTCAAGTCTAAGTGAGATCATGTTACTTTTCTGCCCAGAGCCCTACAAAGATTCCCTAGTTTACCCAAAGTAAAAGCCAAAGTACTTAAAATTCTCATCCCTCCCAGAGGATGCCGCCTTGTAAATCCCATTTTCCATGTCTTCTTTTACTGTGAGAGTTGTAGGAAGGATGAGATAAGATGAACAGTACGTGGTAAATGGACTCATTTATCCTGCTGGCAAGATAACTCTATTTTTATTCTACCTTGATACAATTTTATGTATCAAGGTAGAATAAAAATAGAGTTATCTTGACAGCAGGACATCAAGTAGACTTTTCTGGACTCCTTAGACATTCTTCACTTGGGAAAGAGGGAATGTCTCATATATGAATAAGATTGTATACTATAATCATAAAATCATAATAAATTATTAAATTATTATAATAAATACATTTAGAAAAATAAAACATTTTCTCAGAAAGAAAACATGACTTATGGCAGCACTTAGAAAACTGAAGTGGTCATCAGGATTTATAATTAGCCTTGCCACAATTTTAAGTTGTAATGTATGATTTTGAACTATTCTGTGCATTACAGAGTACTCTCTAAAAACAACAGAAGTTTTCCTCTCAAAACAGCTCCATTTTACATCTACATTCAGGTGCACTAACTAAAACAGTACTTGAAGATGACATACTTATTAATATCTCATGAGTCATAGATGCTCAGAATGCTTTAGTTACATTCTATTGCATTACAGGCAAAGCCAGGACAAAAGTCCAGGGCCCTTTCCTTTCTAGCCTATAGATACCATTTCTCATTGCTACGTTTTCTGTGGAGAAGCTCACTACAAAATGTGTATTCAGCCTGCCTTGCTAAATTGTTCTGGCAGCTTATATGAAATATGCTTTCCTCAATAGTATTTTAAAACAAATATGCTAAGTGCCTTTTCTAGTATACCCACACTTGTGAATTGTGCTTTCAACATTTCTCCTTCTTTATTTTAACAGAACCCCAAGTTTCACATGCCTGAGGATATAAGAGAAAATAGGGAAAATCTTCTACTCAATTCTGAGAGATCTACTAGGGTCTTAACAAAGACCAGTCATTCACAGGGAAGGGATCAAGCTTTAAGTAACACCACAGGGTCACCAACAGAAAAGTCGATTGAAGAATATCGAGGAGCTAACACTCTTTTCAACAAGTTCAGCAAAATGAATTGGCCAGTGGACATTCACCCTTTAAACAAAAGTTTAGTCAAAGATAATAAATGGAAGAAAACTGATGAGACCCAAGAGAAACGAAGGTCTTTCCTTCAGGAGTTTTGCAAGAAATACGGTGGGGTGAGTCGTCATCAGTCACATCTTTTTAATACGGTGTCCAGAATCTATGTAGAAGATAAACACAAAATCTTATATTGTGAGGTTCCGAAGGCTGGCTGTTCCAACTGGAAAAGAATTCTGATGGTACTAAATGGATTGGCTTCCTCTGCATACAACATCTCCCATGATGCTGTCCACTATGGGAAGCATTTGAAGAAGCTAGATAGCTTCGACTTAAAAGGGATATATACCCGCTTAAATACTTATACCAAAGCTGTGTTTGTTCGTGATCCCATGGAAAGATTAGTATCAGCCTTTAGGGACAAATTTGAACATCCCAATAGTTATTACCATCCAGTATTCGGAAGGGCAATTATCAAGAAATATCGACCAAATGCCTGTGAGGAAGCATTACTTAACGGATCTGGAGTCAAGTTCAAAGAGTTTATCCACTATTTGCTGGATTCCCACCGTCCAGTAGGAATGGACATTCACTGGGAAAAGGTCAGCAAACTCTGCTATCCATGTTTGATCAACTATGATTTTGTAGGGAAATTTGAAACTTTGGAAGAAGATGCCAATTACTTTTTACAGATGATTGGTGCTCCAAAGGAGCTGAAATTTCCCAACTTTAAGGACAGGCACTCTTCCGATGAAAGAACCAATGCTCAAGTCGTGAGACAGTATTTAAAGGATCTGACTAGAACTGAGAGACAATTAATCTATGACTTTTATTACTTGGACTATTTAATGTTTAATTACACAACTCCATTTTTGTAGTTTACATTCATTTTCTAAAACCTTGTATGTACTTAATGATGATGAGCTCAAATCAGCTACTATAATTTTTCTATAATTGTCTGTATGTGAGAAATTTAACTAAATGCAGTTGTCTTGATTTAATGTAGATTTTAACCAAATAGTATGACACCAATTGGCATAAAGTTATAGGAAAATCACTTACAGGAGATGTAAACAACTTGAGTTGCTCTAAAATGTTTGGAAGAGATCTGCTTTTGCATTAAGAATTATATTGTTGAAGCAATGACCCAGCCAGCTGTTGCATTAGCTAAAGCAGCCTCTTGCAATGGTAGGAAAAAAGGATCTAAAATAGCATGAGTGTATGTCTATATGCTGGAAGTTATTGTCTAAAATGCATGAATATATTTTTAGCAGTCTGTGGCACATTAATCAAACTATTGAATAGTTTTCTTACACCCTGGAAATCTTTCTATCAACTGTAATGATAAATCCATTTTGTAGTGATATTTTGGATTTAGACATTTTTCTTTAGATTGAAAGGCATTATGTGACTTTAATATGAGAATATAGCAGAAAAACCAGATGAGGCTGTGGCTTTTTATATTCAACAGCCAATAAAAAATGCACAATATGCTAGGATCTAAGCAACAAAAGCAACCTTCCTTTTCCAGAAAACCTTAAGGGAATTGATTCTGTTTTCTTTTGAGCCTTCCACAAAGAGATAAAATGAACACAAGCACTAAAGGTCTAAATTTCTGAAGTAGGCAGTTGAGAAGCTTAAGTCTCATCAGGTATAAATGTGCTCCTAATTCTGGTTTAATTGGGCAGGGGGAAAATTGTTTCAGGATGGAATAATCATCAAAAACAAAAGTTGCCATTCTGAATATGGAACTCAAACAATAACAGAGTTTTACAAGTATATTATTTGAATCAAAGCATCATGTGCATAGCTTTATATGTGGAATCCACCCTAAGAATAGCTTTTGTTTTCAGTTTAATTATTCAGCCTGGGAATGACTTTTAAAAACTAATATACCACTTCAAAGATAAGTTATGTTCTAGAGAATAAACATAACAGCAGCCCCTAGAAATGTTTTTAATAGGCTTATGCATAAGCAAATTAAGGTATTTTCTTTTTAAGTTTACATATTCTATAGTAACAAAGTCAAATACCATTGCATTCAAATTAAATTAAACTCCTTGGAAAAATAGGTTCATGTGTCACCCTTATGAATAGTTGTAATGCATTTTGGAATTTTTTTTCCAAGGAACCCTAAATTAAATCCCTTGGGAAAAAGGGATCATTTTTGCATGAGAGACATTTGGATGGGAAACTTACTTTAATTGGTCGACTATTGCCCTGAGTTAAGAAAATCACGAGTCTTTCAAACCCTGCTTAAATGCTTTTCCTGAACATCTTCCTCTTCCTAAGCTATCATTTTTTCTTATCAGTAAATATTCAGTAATGGCTTTCAAAGAACAGTAGGTATTAATATTTGAATGTTAATAGACCAAGATAGTTACAGTCATACTTATTTCATTTTGATTTTCTATTTCATGGCTGAGTATTCATGAATTGCTTTGCTCCTTACACACACCTGCCGTGTCCCATCTGTGTCTCCTAAGGAGTGAGTAAACTGCAATGGGCTGAGAGATCATAAGTATTAAACCTTCTACTCCAACTTTTTACCACTTTTCCATGCCATTAACTCTTGCCTCTAGACCATACACTTAAGCTGTGCTCTCAGTTTTTAAGGAGTTTTACTCTGGAGTAATCTAAATTACATAATTTAAATTTTTGCTACACCATGTAGAGTAGATTCCTAGTAACTTAGGGACATTGAAATTATCTTTTTATGGAGAGAGAAAATAGAAAATATTCCAAGAAGCCTGAAGTTTTATTCCTAAACTATACAAAACTTGTTTTCTATGAAATCTGCTATAAAGAATAAAGGCAATTTTCTCACAGGTATTCCTAAAACTATATAAGGAACAAACAAATAACTTTTCATAGCTTGAGAAAGATAACAAATGGAAACAACAGTCCTACCTCTTGTTGGCATTTGTAATGCACTGGGCAGGGTGGAATGCATAACTATGTAATCTTTCAGCTTTGATGATGGAGAAGAGGGATGAGAGGAAGAAAATGATACTCAGCGTTCTCTAGGGAAAGCTATTATGTACCTTTTGCTGTATATGTTCCTTTCCTGACCCTTTCCAACAAGCCCATGTCACCATGGGTCATTCTTTTCCTAAATGGTTCTCTGATGCTGAGTGACATCCTGTGTAGTTGTAAGTTCCAGAAGCCATGCATGTTTTTGCCAAGTAAGAACAAACTTATGTATCTGTTCTTGATTTTAGATGACTTATTTTCATGTTAAGGCCGAAGAAGCCAGTCATCATCCTGGATTACTTGTGAGTGTAAAAACCAACTCCATTTTTCTCTCCTGACTTACTCGGCTTTGCAGACCAGCTCACATTCACCTTTGTCATTTCTGGTTCTGCATAAACCCAGGTGGGAGCACCACTGTTCTTTTGGACCATCACAATTTCATGAATTTAATTCCTAAAGGCAAGTGACCAAATCCAGACTCATCTTCCAGATGTTCAAAGTTCCCATTTTAACATTAGGTGCAATTATAAGTCCTCTAATTAAACCCTAAGGACCCTATTTGTTTTTATAGACAGCAGTAACATGATGGGCAGGCCCCTTCACTCTGTTATTCCCGTCTGGATTTACTATCAGGGTAACAAGTTGGCAACTAAATCCAAAGCCACAGTTATGTAACCTGTAAACTATCTATAGCTGTGTAATATCAATGTGACTGTGCCCAGAAACTGCCACAAACTTCAATGGAAATGTGTGTAACATTTTTTGGATTTTCTCAAACGTTTGGAAATTTCCATTAATCCAATGGAAGTAAAAGGCCACTTGCTAAATTCTTTAACTTCAGTCTATAAAACATTCTCTAGCAGAAAATGATATTAATATTATTAGGGAATTAGTAGTTCTAATTCAAGAACTATTTGGATGTCATTTTTAATTAGAAAGAGGAAAAAATGCTTTTACACTTTATTCATGTATACATTATTATTCTAATCTCCTAAAATGTATAGTGTTTACCAGCAGGAATATATAAGAAAGTGCAGAGAATTCTGAATATTAGAGTGCCCTTTGAAAAGATCACTTGCTAACCGGGCGTGGTGGTTCACACCTGTAATCCCAGCACTTTGGGATACCAAGGCGGGCTGATCACCTGAGGTCAGGAGTTCGAGACCAGCCTGACCAACATGGATAAACCCTATCTCTACTAAAAATACAAAATTAACCAGGCATGATGCATGCCTGTAATCCCAGCTACTCGGGAGGCTGAGACGGGAGAATCACTTGAACTTGGCAGGCGGCTGCAGTGAACTGAGATCATGCCATTACACTCTAGCCTGTGTGACAAGAACAGTAGTCCATCTCAAAAAAAAAAAAAAAGAAAGAAAGAAAAGATCAGTTGCTGAATTAGTAGAATTTAGGATTAGGCTAGGACTACAGTAAATGTCTCCTTCCTGAACATTCTCATATGGCCTCTCGGGGCGTCCCAGCCTCTAGGCCTTCAAGGAGCCTGGTGAACCAGAAGTTTTGCCCAGGGCTAACCCTCCCAAGATGCTCTGATACTTGAAAAAGGATTGGCCAAAGGTGTTTAACTGTAGCTCAACTGCCTAAGAATCTTAGGCCAAGCCTAATTCAATTTAGTCCTACCTTTAGGTTCCTACTTTCTCAATCTCAATCATGATCATTATACAGAAATAATGTTTGTAATCCTAGCTAACATTTATTCAATACTTAGTGAGTGTCAGGCACTCTTCAAGTTCTCTACATGCATTAATTTAATCTCCATAGCCAGTCTAAGACAGGTGCTGTTTTGTAGCCCTCTCCCTTCCCATCTATAATAAAGGAAAGTAAAGCAGACTGTGGCTAACTTGCCTAAAGAGACACGGTTGATAAGTAGGTCAGAAGCCAGGATGAAGCCAAGCAGTAAATATCACTACCAAACTGTTTGCTTAGAATATTTAGAAATAAACAAATACTTTTGCTTTCCCTTACACCTATTCAGAATAGCTAGAGGTAAAAATAATATATTGGAATCCTGAAATTTTTTCCATACAGATATGGATGTGTGTGTGTGTGTGTATGTGTGTGTGTGTGTGTGTGTGTGTGTGTGTGTGTATTTAGCTAGTTAGTTAACACATTTCAAATCAGCTTATTTCTTTATTCCTGCTGAGTTAAACTGACAGGTTCAAAGATTTTGGAAGAAATTAGGTTTCCTCCCCACATGTTTTTTTTTTCTTTTTTTTTAATCCTTACTTAATCATGGGACACAATGTTTTGAAGGAAAAAAAAAAGTCCCTGAAACAAATTTAGCCTTACGAAAACGAAATATCATTTCTTTGACAAGAAATTCCAGACAGCTACAAGAGTGGCCAAGAAAAAGCAGAATCTAAGAGGAAGAAAGTCCAGGCAAACTTTCCAGCATGGGTCCCTGACAGCCACTGCAGATGATCATGGTTGGTCACACACAGTGAGACCTCCTATTAGAACCATTCCTGCCAGAAACAGAGCAACTGTGTGTTGTCCCTTCTTCTTAAGTCTCCATCCCGACTCCTGGTTTGTAGTCAGATTACCCTAAGCCTACATGGAAAGACTGTAGAAAAGAATAGAGGAGCAAGTTGACTTAAACCAGCTGAAAAACACCGTGAAACAAGGTGAAAATAAATAAGCTCTTGCTAGAAGATGGCAGACTTTTCCCAGACTATGGACACTCCCTGAGGAAGGCCACGTCTGGGGAGTTCAACAGAACATTGCCTCATATCATGTCATTCTCAGAATTTCCCGGTCAGTCACATCTTCATTTTTCACCAGGATCATATGCTTCCAGGCAAAAGTATTTAAATCCATTTAAGCAGTCATCTTTTTCCATCCTTACATCTCCCCTCAAGTCTCACACTATATTTAGAATGCTCCCCTTCTATATATCTGGACATTCATTTATTATTAACTCACCAAGGAATCTCTTGAGATTATTCAATTTTGAAATCTCATCTCTTCATGATCTCTCTGATCGGTAGAAAAGGCAACATGGTTTTCCCCTGGTATAGCATACGTCAGATTACTCTCTTACCAATAAATGCAGGCATCCCTTCCCTCAAGTTTTTTGTCTGGGAGGTTCATTAATTTATTTGTTCATGTACTATTTATCTCAGTTCATATGAATATAAAATATCTGTTGTTGTCATTGGAATGTTTTGGGTCTCCCAAGAGGAAAGAAACTGTGTCTGTTGAATTCACTTTGTACCATTTCTAGCAAAGCACTCAGTGGAAGGCGTTACTTAAACAGATGCTTTTGATGCTGTTGTTTAAAGGTTCCTGTACAAATTCTTTCAGTGTGGAATTTGTGTATTTCTGCCTGTGACCTTTAGGCATCTATAGAACCAGAGAATTTGAAAGGAAGGTGCTAGGGCAGGGCAGCTGAGAGAAGAAGGGAGTTAAGCTACACTTTTTGTTTTTTGAGATGGAGTTTTGCTCTTTTTGCCCAGGCTAGAGTGCAATGGCACAATCTTGGCTCACTGCAACCTCCGCCTCCTGGGTTCAAGTGATTCTCCTGCCTCAGCCTCCCAAGTAGCTGAGATTATAGCCACACGCCACCATGCCCAGCTAATTTTGTATTTTTAATACAGATTGGGTTTCTCCATGTTGGTCAGGCTGGTCTCAAACTCCCGACCTCAGGTGATTCGCCAGACTTGGCATCCCAAAGTGCTGGGATTACAGGCCTAGGCCACTGTGCTTGGCCGCCACATACCCTGTCTATACTAACAGTCATTTCTTGACCTGAAGGGTAGTTGCAGACACAGCAATCTTTTACATTTTTAAGATGAGCCATTGCTTGATTGTTTTGGGAAGTAAACGTTGAAAAAAATGCGTGATTCTGGTCAATGTAACAGCCATTTGCTGAGGATCTACTCAGTAGCAGACATTGGAAAAATATTTTACATACATCCATTTAATTAAATGAAGAGTAAGTCTAATCATTTCCAAAAATAACTTCCAAAAAAATCAAAGTTGAGTATTTTTCCACCTATCACTTTATGAATGAGAAAACTGAGTATCAAAGAGGTTTAATAACTCATCTCTCTGGCTCCAAAGCTGAGACCATACATTGGCAACCCATGGGGTAGATCTAGATACAAACATGTCTGTTTTGGCTAACAGTGCATTTTACTTAATATCTGAATTCATTGCCAACATTGGGCTTCATTAATGACAGGAGATTTGTGGCCCTAAATCCTATATGCCTACCTGAAAATAGTTGGACAGAGGTGAGGTCAGTCCCTTTAGATGAGGCTGGAGATCTCTAGTTGTTCAGTCTTCACTAAGCCACCATCACTCATTCACCTTACTTGCCTGGCCCCTAAGCACCCCACTTTTCAGGTCCTGCTATGAAGTGTGTGTTCCTTCCCCCACAAAGCTTCCAAAGGAAATCAACTCCTGAATATTCTCCTTGACCATACTTGTGTTGTGCAGGTAGAGAGGTTATCCCATTCTGGGTTTCCATATCCTTGCTCACAATGCTGCTTGACCTTTGGTCTTATATCCAGTAGGATCTCCAGACAGTATTTCATTGTCTAGGGAAGTCTCTTTTGACCAGCGACAAAGATGTTGGGAGAAATCCAGTACCTTTTTTTTTGGCATCTTTCTGTCTCAGCCACTGGGTCCCCCTGGCAACAACATTCCTTCCCACCTCCCTCAGCAGCGAGTCTCCCATGTTCTTGGAACTCTAGTATCCAGGGACAGAAACTGGCTCCCACTGCTGCCTCTAGACTGCTATAAATCTCTT